CCACCTGCGCAGCGGTATAAAATCCTACTTAACGACCAGTCGAATAGAAAACTTGTAAGAACTCGACAAAAACAAAGTGGCTGCATGGTTACTGCAATACACGCTGTGTAATCAAGATTGCTTTAGCTTGTGACAGTATGTGTTTTTCGTAAAAAAAATATTTTCATCCAGTTTTTAAATTCTGTTAGCCTACAATTATTTTTTGACTTCATGTGGGTAAATATTATAATTTTTATTTTCTTAAATTTAATCTGAATTATATCAACGCAAATTTTGTTTCTAAACTCACCAATCAGCTATGTTTTTAGTTTTGGTCACGTGAATAACTTAACGCTGATTAACGCACTCTGGTTTTCATTAATTTTTGTTGTCAACGAATTCTATTTTACGAACCAGTCGAATGAAAATAATACTCAACGAAAATTCATAGTCAACGGAATGAACCAGTCGAATACGCCCAATGATTACCTATGGAATTAAAAGTGCCAGTACAAAACTATGATCATTTAAATTGTTATATTCAGCCATGCCATGAAATTTTTCTGTAGTGGGATGGATAAAGACTCCTTTTATCCTTGTAACCTCAACAGGCCATATATTTATAGCATTTAGGTTGATAAGTTTCAGTTTCAGTTTATTTATTAGACCAACAAGAGTATCATCATCGATATGTTTGTTTATTTATTTCCTTTTTCTTTCAGTATGGTAGCCCTATCTGTGAAAAAAATATTCTTTTGAGGGGCTCTACGACACATTAAAATTTAAAAAACAAAATAAACTAAATTTTAACTACTGACTTGGAAATACAATTAATTTTAAAATAAAATAATTTCTAAATGGTGTAGCAGGGCCCAGGTTGAAAACAATATAACTGACACAGAAGTCAGTACCATGACTCAAGATGGCCAGTACTAACTGTTAGTATGTTCACCCCTTACCAGCATACATACTTGACGAGCAAGAAATAAATGCCGTACAAGACAGTTGCATAATTTGTTAAATGCTAATACAATGAAATCAATTCTACCAAGCCACCTAGGACTTATGGTGATTTATAGGCTAAATGCAGGCTTGGTCCCCAGTGGATCGTATAAAAAGGAGGAATTTCGACGGTGAAATGGGGGTTGTCTTATTTTGGCCAACATACACAAATCGTCCAAAACTAGAGGTTCGTCTTATCCGCGAGGATATGAATTAATACAATGGGAATAAATTATTATAATAGTGGCAAAAACAAACCAAACCAGTCACTTGTCATTTCAACATTTTTGAAATCTATTTTATTACACTATAACCTTTTTTTTTACATATATATACATATACATATCACTCTCCGCGTGGTGTGCCTCGAATGAAATGGAATTAAATTCAAATAAAATTAGTATTCTTCACATTACTAGATCTAAAAAGGAGTACTGTCCGATTTACTACTTGAATGGCTCCCCAATTCAATCTGTCCTAAATCACTCCCACTTGGGCGTCACTATTAACCATACCTTAACTTGGGATGACCATGTAAAAAATATTACAGCAAGGGCAAATAGGATGATTGGTTATATTGCAAGTATTGCCGGTGTCTCTTATACACATCTAGATGTGTATAAGAGACAGGTATTACAACGTATTTAAATTCTACCTCGCCCGGGAAATTCAAAGGATATCGGCCACTGCTGTGGAGTCTCGAGGGCATTACTCAAGCCTAAAATATTGCGCAATATTCCACATTACATCTCGATGAAACTGGACTTCTTTAATCTTCTGGAGTCGATATTTTAGCTAACCAATCATCGAATTGTACAGTATCTGATTCAATTTTATTATTTTAGTGAAATTTTGATGGCATTTTTTATCGTGTTTGCTGTGAATTTTTAATGTTTGTGATTCTGTTGAATTTCTCGTATGGCCTTTCATTAGAAACAGTGGTACCTGTCTCTTATACACATCTAGATGTGTATAAGAGACAGTGCTTTGATTCTCCGTTTGTTGTGATTGTAGCTTTGTAAA